GCCGAGAACTGGAGGTGCCGGTGGCCCCGAGCCTGACGACGGTCCTCTAGCCGGTCGTCAATCTGTAGACTCCGTTGAATAAGGGTGTCTAGCGTGGTGGGGCGTTCCATTGTGGCCAGCTGGTCCAGTATCTCATCTGAAAGCCCCTCGAGATACTGGTCCCGAAGAGCAGAGTCGTTCCAGGACAAGTCCTGTGCCAGAAGCCGGAATTCCGTGGTGTATGCAGCCACCGTGGACTTGCCCTGCCTCAACCGCCGAATCGCCCGGTTGGCTTGACTCCCCTTCTGGGGGTTGCCGAACACGGCCTCCAACAGATTGCAAAACCCCCCGTAGTCTGCCAGCAAGGGGGAGTCTTGCCTGAGCAGCGGCAACGCCCACTTGGCCGCCTGGTCCTTTAACAAACTAATCAAAAAATGCACCTTGGTGCGGTCGTCAGGGAAGTTCCGGGCGCGCCCCTGAATATACAGCTTGGCCTGGGCAAGGAACATGGGAAAGCTGGCCGGGGCCCCATCAAATTTCTCAGGCAAGGCCACTGGGTACTTGCCAGAAGCCAGGGCGTCGGCCCCAGGAGCCGGTAGGGCGTCCAAACGCTGCTGCAGTGCCATAACCGCGTTACTGAGCTGCTGCACGGTGTGCCTCAAGGCCTGGTTCTCCTGGGCTATTGCCAACAGTGTAGCCGCTTGGTCGGCCATGGCCTCTGACTCTTCCCGAACGCACCCCAAAAAGGAGGGAGTGCGGGTGTGGCAGGAGCAAACTGTGCTGGTCCCAGGGGGGATAAGGTACTATTACCTTAGCCCAAGATCAGTCCAGAGTCTCTAGCAGGGTAGACGATCACTGGAAGAGACGCGAGGTCCGAGACATGGAGCCGGGCGGGGTAACAGGAACGCTGGTAGGGCAGAAGCAGGAATCCAGGCGAGGAACAGGAACACCGGAGAGTCAGAAACAGGAAGCCGGGCGAGGAACAGGCACACTGGGAGTGCAGGTCAAGGACTGGGTAAGCAGATACTCCACAACGACGTTGCTCCCGCAACCTGGGACCGGGCTGCCTGACCTTTATCTTCTTCTAAGGCCGGGGGCGGTCCCGGCCCCCAGAAGCCCCGCCTCTCTTGGCCTTAAGGCGAACACTCCTCCTGGGAGACACCAGTTCCCTTCGCCTCTCTGCCCTAAGCCTCTGCAGTTCAGGAGAGGCCGAAGGGTTACTGGGCCCCGGGGAAGGCTCACCTGTAGCCACTGAGTCTTCCAGCACCTCTGGGGCCAGAATGGTTTCACCTGGTGCCTGCTCTTGAGTTTCCTCAGCATCTAGGCCTTGCCCCAGTTCAGCCGGCCCTGGAGGCGGGGACTCCTGTGCCGGCTGGGATTCCTCCGGATCGCTCTCAGACTCGGAATCCCAGGCCATCACACATAACTTTGTCTGTTGAATGTCTGTTTAGACTGCGAACAGCTGAAGTGCTTTGGCGTCCAGCACTCTTCCGATGCACCGCTCTGCTCCTCCTGGCTTCAGCAGAGTATAACAGATAGCGTGTGTGTGTGTAGGAATCAGAGGCATGCAGAGAAACCCTCATACGCAGCTCCTTCTAATCTAAGAAGCGGTTTATTGTACAGCACCAAAATAAATCAACGACCCGGGAGAGTGCACCGACATGCTGTCTCTCCCTCTCTCAAAACAGAAAGTAAATCCTTCCTCCTCTTCCTCCTCGCAGGGCTGACCTGGTGCCCGTTTACACCTTTGGGGAGATTGACATTTACCGACTGATCCGGTTCCCCGAGGGCAGCTTCGTTCACCGCCTCCAGCTCGGTTTCAAGCAGCTGATCGGCTTCGCCCCTTGTCTCTTCAGCGGGAGGGGCCTCTTCTCCAGCACCTCTTGGGGGATCCTGCCCATGGCTGCCCCCCTCACGGTGGTGGGTAAGGACCCACAAGGCTCCCCGTCCCTTCCTTAGCCTTCGCCCTGCACCCCAAAATCCCCCCAACTCACCAACCTGATTGCAAAGAGCCATAAACTCTTCAGCATCGTACAAAGCAGCAGGTTCTGGTGCATCTCCCTTTTGCCCTCTCTTCGAACTGAATCGGAGACCTGTGGAGTTGAATGGGACCCCCAAGGGTCATCTAGCCCAACCCCTCTGCATTGCAGAAATCAAACGAGCCGCCTCGTTTTATGGGGCTTGCTATGGAGGGAGCTGCGATTGTGTGTGTGTGTTCACACACACACACACACACACACACACACCGACTTCCTTCTCCCCTTCCTTGGAGGTTTCTAAGCTGAGGTTGGTTGGCCCCATTCAGGGATTCCTGCATTGCAGAGGGTTGGGCTAAATGACCCTCGAGGGTCCCCTCCATTCCTGCACCTAACCCACCCCTGAAACCCAAGGCCAGGGTGCAAAGCTGCTGGGGTGGGGAGGCCCTGGCTGCCATGGGTGGGGGGCAAGGGGCAGAGCAGATCCCCCAACCACCCATGCTTCTCCTTCCTGCAGTGGGGAAGCCTATCCCGGTCCCGCTCCGCCCGCGCCCCACCGAGGACGAGGTGAACAGCTTCCACGCTCTCTACGTCGAGGCCCTGAAGGAGCTCTTTGACGCCCATAAAGAATCCTGCGGCCTCCCGGCCTCCCAGCAGCTCCTCGTCACCTAGAGGGACCCAGACTTGACCCGAAGCAGCATCAGGGGACACAAGGTTGTGATGGGGGGAGACACGCGGGAGTCTTTGTTCCCCCATCCCCATCTGCACACACCGTTTCCAATAAAAGGCACCGTGCCTGATGTCTGATCTTGGGTCCTTGGTGCCCGAACCCCCTTTTGGTGCTCGCCTGCGGAGCCCAAGGCTGGTTGTCTCATTCACACATGCATTATGAAGGCAAGGTCTGCAGGGCCCGGCAGCCAGAGAAGCAGGCCATGGCCCTGTTAGAATTCCTGCTCCATGACTGCAGTCATGGGATTGTTGTCTTTTACATGACGGTGTATGTTTTGACTCCACAGAGTGGGAAGTGACGGAGACAGGATGTTTGTGTTCTGTGAAGTGGGACTATTGTCCTTTGTTCTTTTTCTCTTTGCTGTCTGATGCTGGAGAGAGAGGGAGCCATGTTGCAGTGCTCCGTGTGTGTTTATATGTAAATAAAGTAGATTAGCCAAAATGCTGAGTTCTGTTACGCATGATGTGCATACTCTGCGGCTCCCTAAGTGTGCCGGTGGCGGTTGGCATCAGTCCGGGCTGAAGAAAGCTTTTGAAGCTCCCGGACGATCGATCAGGAGGGAGAGAACATGCCAGTCGGGCATGTTTCTCTACCAGGGTCCTACTCGGGTGTAGGCCGAGCTCCTGACAGGCCCTGAATCCATGGCGCTGGCTTGAGGGGGCTGCCCACATGCCCTCCGGGTGAGCAGCTAGGAGCTTGCCTGTCTGCAAGAGAAAAGATCATTTGGACATGCAGGCCTAGCTCTTACTCAGAAAACGGGGGCTGTTACGGAAATTACAGGGGGGGCACATCTTTAAAGTTAAATATTAATAATATTATGCCTGAATGTATCCTTTCAACTTGACAGCTCAGGGAAGTTACCTAGCTTTAAAATAATATAAAATCATCTCCTTTCCCAGTTTCCTCCATTCCAAAGCCATTTTCCCCTTGCAAAAGGACTCCAGGAAGTTATCAGAGGTGACAATTGCTGGGCTCATTGTTAGCCAAAGGAAGCCAAATCTCATCACCTGACTCGCCTCAGGCTCCAGACATGCAAAGGAACTTCTATTGTACTTTTGGGTGGTGGGTACTTAAGACATATTTGTCCAAGCTAATCTTATACCTGAGTCTTGCCCTGCCATGTCTGCTTATGCTAATCTTGTACCAAGGACTTGCCTGGACATGTTTGCCAAGGTTAACCCCTCCCCTTTTGTGACATGTCAGTGATGTAGCAATGATGCTGTACGAACTGTATTCTGGGATATGGTGGGAAAGTTTTAAAAGTTGGGGTTCAAAATTTGCTATTTGAACCTACTGCGCAATAAACTTTGGTCTACAGCTATTTGCTCTGATTGGCTGGACTCCTTCCTTTATTCCACAGGGACCCGCGGGCTCTGCCCGATGAGCTGGGGGACTGAGCAGCCTCGCACCCAGATTTTTCCTTAACAGGGGCCCTGCTCTTTGGCCAGGAAAAAGAGGGAGGGTAAGCTGGGCTTACTGCCAACCTAGCAGTTCGAAAGCACGTCAAAGCGCAAGTAGATAAATAGGTACCACTCCGGCAGGAAAGTAAACGGCGTTTCTGTGCGCTGCTCTGGTTCGCTAGAAGCGGCTTAGTCATGCTGGTCACATGACCCGGAAGCTGTACGCCGGCTTCCTTGGCCAATAAAAACGAGATGAGCGCCGCAACCCCAGAATCGGCCACGACTGGACCTAATGGTCAGGGGTCCCTTTACCTTTAAGCTGGGCTTGGGGATCAGTTTTCCCAAGGGGCTCGAGGACCCTTCTCTGACTGCAGGAGCAACGCAGGACATGCCTGGGTCGGGTGGAGGCAGGGCGGGGGGGGGTGCCAGGAGTCTCAGGCCAAAGGGGGATGGGAGAGAGGGGCCGCGGTTCAGCATCCCCCTTTGCCCACCCATCGTGTGCACTCTGTGCATGCCCCGAGGCAACCCCCAGTTTGCACCCTGGTTTTGAGTGGAAATCTGGGTACTGTTATTCCCAGAGGTCCTCATGCAGGTCAGAGAAATAAATGCCAGCAAAAAGCGGCTATTCGGCCCCATCGTCCTTTCGTGGTTGCCAAGGTGACTTGAAATCTGGGTACCCCTGGTTGCAGTGCGCCCCGCGAGGTCCTTTCCCCAGTCAGGATAAATCAAGAAACCGCACCCAGGTACAGGAAAGCAAGAAGCAGCTATTAAGCCTTGTCTTTATTGTTGCGATAAGATTTCAACCTCTAAGCCCGGAAAGAATAAGTCCCAAACAAAGGCATGTAACTCCTTTTAGAAGTTACATTTTCCCCCTACAATTCATTTCAGAGAAGCATCATTCAAACCTTATTCTTCACGGCCAAAATATTGGGAGATTTTGGAACAGGAGGGTGACAAACTGAAACTGCAGAGTTTTGAGAAATTAGAAGATAAAGTGCGAGATTGGCTTCATTACTATCAAATAAGGGAGGCTTACAATTTGGACAAAAAAAATGGCTTCCAGGTGGAAAAATCAAAATTGGAAACAGAACTGTTAGATCCCAAAACTAAGATATTATCAAGAATGTATAACTTGCTGTTGAAATGGAATACTCAGGATGAAACGGTTAAATCTGCTATGATTAAATGGGCACAAAATGTTGGACATAACATAATGTTTGCTGACTGGGAACAGTTGTGGACCACAGGTATGAAATTTACGGCATGTAATGCCTTAAGAGAGAATATTATGAAAATGATATACAGTTGGTACATGACACCAGTCAAGCTTGCAAAAATCTATCATTTGCCCGACAATAAGTGTTGGAAATGTAAAGAAAATGAAGGTACATTCTTTCACCTTTGGTGGACGTGCCCAAGGATTAAGGCCTTCTGGGAGATGATCTATAATGAATTGAAAAAGGTATTTAAATATACCTTCCTGAAGAAACCAGAGGCCTTTCTCCTGGGCATGGTTGGCCAATCGGTGCCAAAGGAGGATAGAACTCTCTTTATGTATGCCACAACAGCAGCAAGAATACTCATCGCAAAGTATTGGAAGACACAAGATCTACCCACCCTGGAAGAGTGGCAGATGAAAGTGATGGACTATATGGAATTGGCGGAAATGACTGGCAGAATCCGAGACCAGGGAGAAGAGTTGGTGGAAGAAGATTGGAAGAAATTCAAAGACTATTTGCAGAAACATTGTAAAATTAATGAATGTTAGGATGATGTTGGATTGAAATGAAACGGCTTTAGCAACAAGGTTAAAAAGAATATGTAAAAATGGATTGATAATCAGATGAAGATACGAAGTTTTAATATGTTAAGATATAGAATTAAGATAAAAACAAAGAGGGAAAGGATTTGCTGAATTAACCATGTGAACTGGAATACAAAAAAGGGAGGTGTGAGGAGGTCAGGAAACAAGTAAACGAAATATAAGTCATGAAAAGATTGATTTGTTTTTATTTTTTTGTTTTTTATGTATTTTGTATTTTTTCTTTGTATTTTTGTACTTTCTTTTTTTATTCTTATTTTTTCTTTTTTATTCTGTAACTTTGTTTTGTCTGTAAAATTTCAATAAATATCATTTTAAAAAAAACCACAAACCTTATTCTTCGCCTTAAAACAGGTGGAGTGACAGACATTTGAGTCCATTACCTGTCAGCTGTCAGTCAAGGTGTCAGTGTATTGCCTGCCTTTTCCTCTCGGAGCAAATATTTTACATTCCTTTTGGCATTACAGTTAGGTCAGCTCAATTCTGCTCATCCAGTCTCTTGTGCCAATATTGTGAGTATACAGTATGATTTTTCTGTCTTTCCCTTTATCAGGTGTTGCCCATTGACAGCTGAGAGGAAAAGGTCCGAGTAGGTGCTCTTCTGCTTCTGGGATCATGGCCACTCCTGCTCTGCCCAGCACTGCGGCTCAGAAACACTTTATTTATGCTCATGGATTTCTTGTTCTACCCTCCTGTACAAAATAAAACAGTTTGTTTGGATATTTACAGTGTTTTTCCATTGCTTTCCATTCATATAATAGGGTTTTATTGACTTAAATGATGATTTCCACAAACCTGGGAAAGCTCAGTCAGTAGAGAATGACGTTAAATAAGTTGGAGTTCTTCTTATTAAATACACCAAGAAAAAAGCACACCACGAACTCTGGCCAATATAAGTTTCAATAGTGAGAGTGGTCCCTACTCGCAAATCAACAGTCAATTGTAACAAAAACTAATCCATTCAAAAGTAAGTATTCTGACAAGGATTACAAACTCAAATAGAGATTACAAACTGAAACAAAGATTACAAACTCAAAACTTGGAAGGGATGGGAGTGGGACAGGGGTTTGAAAATGGTATAGGGGCAATTTATTCAGAACAAAAAGCTAAATTAATAGTCAACAATGTGGTGACAGAAGACTTTAAGATTCAGAAAGGAACACGACAAGGTTGCCCTATCTCCCCTTTGTTATTCATTTCGGTCCTGGAGGTGCTCTTGAATATGATTAGAGGGGACCGGTTGGTGGAAGGGATTCAGGTCGGAGCCAAACAGTACAAACTTAAAGCTTTTGCAGATGACCTGGTTTTGACATTGCAGGAACCAGACCCTAGTACGAAAAGAGTTTTAGAACTTATTCAAGAATTTGGTCGATTGGCGGGTTTTAAATTAAATAAACAGAAGACAAAGGTCCTGGGGAAAAATTTGACAACTGAGGAATTAGAAAGGTTTCAGAAAGAGACAGACTTAAAAATTGTTAAGAAGGTGAAATACCTAGGGGTTAATATGACTTCTAAAAACTTGAATTTATTCAAGGATAATTATGAAAAGTGTTGGACAGAAATTAAGAAGGACTTAGAAACTTGGTCGAGACTAAAACTCTCCTTGTTGGGCCGAATTGCTGTGATAAAAATGAATGTATTGCCAAGGATGTTATTTCTGTTTCAGACCCTACAGATCGTGGATAGAGTGGAATGTTTCACAAAATGGCAGAGAGATATCTCTAAGTTTGTCTGGCAGGGCAAAAAGCCCCGAATAAAATTTAAAATACTAACTGATGCTAAAGAGAGAGGGGGGTTTGCCCTGCCAGATTTGAGGTTGTATTATGAATCTGCAGCTTTCTGCTGGTTGAAGGATTGGTTTCTCCTTGAGAACACTGATGTCCTAGATCTGGAAGGGTTCAACAATGCTTTTGGATGGCATGCATATTTGTGGTACGACAAGGTAAAAATTCATAAGGCTTTTAAAAACCATATTGTCAGAAAAGCTGTGTTTAATGTCTGGGTAAAATACAAAGACTTATTAGAAAACAAGACCCCAAGGTGGCTGTCATCAATGGAAGCCAAGGCCCCGAAAAGACTCAATATGGAGGCCAATTGGCCGAAATATTGGGAGATAATAGAAAAAGAAGGTGATAATTGGAGATTGCAGAGTTTTGAGAAATTAAAGGGTAAAGTGCGAGACTGGTTACATTATGCCCAGATCAAGGAGACCTTCAATTTGGATAAAAAATTAGGTTTCCAGGTGGAAAAATCAAAATTGGAAACAGAACTGTTAGAGCCTAAGACTAAGGTACTTTCTAAAATGTATAACTTGCTGCTGAAATGGAATACGCAAGATGAAACTGTCAAATCAGCTATGATAAAATGGGCACAGGACATTGGGTATAATATTATGTTTGCTGACTGGGAAAAGTTGTGGACCACCGGAGTGAAGTTCACGGCATGTAATGCCTTGAAAGAAAACATTATGAAAATGATATATAGGTGGTACATGACCCCAGTCAAGCTGGCAAAAATATATCACCTGTCTGATAACAAATGTTGGAAATGTAAAGAAGCTGAAGGAACATTTTTTCATCTTTGGTGGACGTGCCCAAGGGTTAAGGCTTTCTGGGAAATGATTTATAATGAATTAAAAAAGGTATTTAAGTATACCTTCCTTAAGAAACCAGAGGTCTTCCTTCTGGGCATTGTTGACCAAGGGGTGTTAAAGAGGGATAGAACTTTCTTTATGTACGCAACAACAGCAGCAAGAATACTCATGGCTAAGTATTGGAAGACACAGGATTTGCCCACCTTGGAAGAATGGCAGACGCAACTGATAGACTATATGGAACTGGCTGAAATGACTGGCAGAATTCGAGACCTGGGAGAAGAGACGATGGAAGAGGACTGGAAAAAATTGAAGGACTATTTACAAAAACACTACAAATTGTATGAATGTTAGGAGAATGCACGAATGGAAGAAACATGGCAGCAGTAAAATTATTGTAAGATATATGAGAATATGTGATGTTTAAGGTAATGTTGAAACTTGAAGTAATATTATGCTCCTTATAAGCAGTTTAATTTAAGACCAACATACTTTAAAGTTGAAATTGAATATTGGTGATTTATAAAATAAGAAATGGAAGTAAGGTAACAAATTGCTGCACATAACTACTTGGTTGGGAACGCAGGGAAGGGTGATGTGAGGAAGTCCAAAGTTTGATGGAAAGTGGATTTATGAATATATGCACTATTTTTACTTTCTTTCTATATTTCTATCTTTTTCTTTTATATAATCTTATTCTGATTCTTTTTCTGTTTTTTATGTGTTATTTTGTTATTTGGCTGCTTAAAAAAATTTCAATAAATATTTTATAAAAAAAACAACAAAGATTACAAACTCAAACTCATAAGGATATGTATAACACAATAATTCGTTACAGTATTAGAGATAAGAGTTCATGAGTAGAGAAAAGTTCACGTTAGTCCATAGTCAGATTCGACGTGAAGATCTTAGTTTCAATCTTTGAGCAGAAGTCAGAAGTCAGTTATGGATCAGAGACCTGGACAGGGCCCTGTTTCGACGTATTCATCTTCATCAGCTAATTATTAAAGGGTTGTGTAAGTTTCTTGCGAGTTTTTCGTCTTGCGAAGCACAGTTTCCCATAGGAATGCATTGAAAATCAATTAATGTGTTCCTATGGAGACCGCTTGCCAGGCTGGCGGTGCGGAGAAGGGCTTTTCTCCCCACCACAAGCCTTCAGGACAGATACGGGAACAGAGGGGAAGGCGCGCAGCGCTTCTCCTCTGTTCCTGGGGCTTGCGGTGGGAGGAGGGTTTTTCCTCCCCACCGCCAACATTCAGAACAGCATTCTGAATGTTGGCGGTGGGAAGGAAAACCCTCCTCCCACCCCAAGTCTTCAGGAAAGCCATCCAAAGGCTGCCGGTGGGGCGGAGAGACCTCCTCCGCTGCCAGCCTTCGGAGCAGCCTTCGGAAGGCTGGCGGCGGGAGGAGGTCTCTCCGCCCCACCGCCAGCCTTCGGAGGAGGTCCGAGGACAGTGGGGAAGACGCGCTGTGCTTCCCCGCTGTCCCGGAGATTTCCCTATGGGCTTTCGTCTTGCGAAGGAAGCCCATAGGGAAATTCGTTTTGCGAAGCGCCTCCAAAACGGAAAACCCTTTCGTCTAGCGGGTTTTCCATCTTGCGAGGTGTTCATCTTGCGGGGCACCGCTGTAAATATATCCTGTTATTTTCTACATTTCTCAGAGATAACAACTAAGTGTGGGTAGATCAACGTCTATCTTGAGCTTCTCTGTAAAGCAAAAGATTCCCGTGTTGCACCGGGTTGGACTAGATGACCCTCGTGGTCCCTTCCACCTCTACAGTTCTATGATTTCATGGTTCCGTTTTAAGCCCTGCTGTTTGATGGGTGACCTGCTCTTTGCAGAGGGTTTTTCTGAGCGCTGCACAGTTTGTCTGCTATTTGCCCAGCTCTTCTTATCATTGTCCATTAAGGGGTTTGAAGTTTAAGGGGCTGCCAGCGCTGTTTCTGATTGGGTGGCTGTCAAACGAAGTGGCTCCTGATTGGTCAGTTTTCAGGTTACAGGGGAAATGGAGATTTCTCGCCATATTTTGGCATGTTGTGCATTGTCAGAGGCTTAGTGCTGTCCAGCTGGCCATAGATAAGACTCCGGGCTCCCAGCCAGTTCCAAACAATTGATTTATTTGACAAAGTTCAAACGTACATCTCCAGCGTTTCCATTAACCTCCTTCCTCTTGTGCGCAGTTGCTCCCACTAAAGTTATTTCCTTTTTTTTACCCAGCATGCAAACCTGCGAAGACTCCTCCCCTTACTTCCTCTGTGTACAGCATGACTTGTCCCAGGCTCACACTCCTCCTCCCCCTCTTCTTCAGACTGACTCTCTGACGACTGGCTGCTGATAATCTCCCTAGGCTCCCTATAACTGCTGATTTCTGTCCTTTCCTCATTTCCCATTTGCCTCTCCCTGACATGTATGCACCTGTCTATGTATAGGGAGTTGAACTTATGTTCGTGTGCACCTGGTTTGGGGAGGGGAGCGGGGCTGGACTAGATCTCCCTAGGGCTCCCTCCTAACTCTATAAAATTAACAATTCCTAAAGAAGGACTGAAACAAATTAACTTGACTTTTGGGTTGGAAGTGAAAGGAATACTGAATAACCAGAATCCCTCTAGAGGGGGTTCAGGGTCATTACAAGAATGGAAATAGGTCGGAAAATACTAGCTGACCTGGACGAGATTGTTTTTCTCTTGGGAAAAGGTCATGTTTTGTCTACAAGTGCCATAACTTCGAAGTCAACAGTAAATGTTGGAAAAGGAGCTGGAAAAGGACTTGATATACAAAACCCAGGCAGCTGAACAAGAAAAGAAATTAGAGAAAATTGAGGAAGTGGAGAAAGAGATATATGCTGAACAGGAGGAGCAGGAAGGAGGGGCTGCAATGCTGCAGAAGGCAAAGGAGAGCCAGAGGCCTGTCAAGACGGATATAAAAGAAAATAAGGACTGGAAGAGGAAAATTTGGTTTGAATTTAAAAATGAGGAGTGGAAAGATCTCCTTTTGTGGGGATCTGAAGATCTATGGACTATAAACTTGATCAAGGTGGAAGTTGGAGCCTTTGGGTTATTTGGACTTAAAAGGATTAAGAAACAAGATTTGAGCTCTACCTTTAAACATGGAGGTCTGGCTGAAAGGAACATGGACATTATAGGGATAGTGCCCCTCCGAGACTTGGTGTTAAATATAAAGGACTTCCAAAGAAACCGGCAGAGAGGGACTGAGAGAGATTTAAGGGCCTCAGACGTGAGGTTGCCAGGCTGATAGTAGATGGACTAATGCAGTGTTTCCCAACCTTTTTTGGGCAAAGGCACACTTGTTTGATGAAAAAAATCTCAAGGCACATCACCATTACAGCCCCGTGACATCAGCGCGCAGCGTCACGCCGGGAGGGAAGGGCGCCGGGGCGCTGCTGCTGCTGCTGCCGCCGCCGCTCCCGGCAGGCATGGGCCCAGCTGAGGCGGCGGCGGCTGTTGTGGTGGTGGCGGCGATAGCGGGCGGAGGAGGGGGCGGCGGCGGGGCCGAGGTGGCCGGCGGCGGCAGGGGAGGCGGCGGCGGGTGGAGCAGGAGGGCGGCCGAGGCCGGTGAGGGAGTAGGGTTGCCCGGGGCTTGAGGAGCCGTCGCCGGGAGTTGCTGCTGCTGTTTTTGCTGCTGCTGCCCGGACATGCCGGCCTCCTCCTCGTCCGCTGTCTCGCGCTCCTCCCTTTTGCGCGCGCTGCCCCGCCGCCGCCCCATTGGCCGGGTCCTGTCAGCTGATCCTGTGTTATTTCCTCTGTGTGTGTGTGAGGGGAGAATGGAGAGAGAAACCTCGGCACCACCACCGCGGAGCCGCCCCCGACTCGACGCGGATCCTCGCCGCCGCCGCCCCGCCTCTCGCCGCCCGACTCCCTCCCACGGCACACCAGGCAACGTCTCGCGGCACACTAGTGTGCCGCGGAACACCGGTTGGGAAACACTGGACTAATGGACAATGGTTTGGGGATCGAAACCAGGGGAGGGTGGGGTTTGGAAATCCAAAGGGTGTCTGATTTTTTCTATTATTATTTTTTTAAATTTTGTGCTGTTATTAGTATAAAAATGGGGAATTCGTGGAAGGGAAACTGGGTCGACCTTAGAAAAAGTTTTTAAGCATAAATGATTGATGTATATAAGCTAAAAGTTGATATATAAATTGAATTAAATATAATAACAAATTAAGGTTAAAATTTTAGGGATAAGAACTTGTTGGATAAATATTTGGACATGGAATACAAGAAGGGGAGGTGAGGGGAAGTTGTGGAAAAAAGTTATTGAAAATCTGGATTGTAAAGGTTGAATCTTTTTCTTCTTGTTGTTTTTTGTGCTTTTTTTCTTTTTTTCTTTTTTGTACTATTTGAAACTCTAATTAATATTACTTTTTTTAAAAAAAAGAAAGTATGAAAATGATTTATAGGTGGTACAGTCAAGCTCGCAAAAATCTACCACTTGCCTGATAATAAGTGCTGGAAATGTAAAGAGACTGAAGGTACATTCTTTCACCTTTGGTGGACGTGCCCAAGGATTAAGGCTTTCTGGGAAGTAATTTATAATGAAATGAAAAAGGTATTTAAATATACCTTTTTGAAGAAACCAGAGGCCTTTCTCCTGGCTATGGTCGGCCAATTGGTGCCAAAGGATAGAACATTTTTTATGTATGCTACAGCAGCAGCAAGAATACTCATCGCAAAGTATTGGAAGACAGAAGATCTACCCACCGTGGAAGAATGACAGATGAAGGTTATAGATTATATGGGACTGGCAGAGATGACCGGCAGAATCCGAGACCAGGGAAAAGAGACGGCGGAAGAAGATTGGAAGAAATTTAAGGACTATCTTAAGAAACATTGTAAAATTACTGAATGTTAAAGCGATGTCGATTCGGAAATTAAGTGGTTTTTAGCTGTAATGACTATGCAAATAAGAAAAGAAAGGTCAAAAATTAAATAGAAATTAGGGGAAGGATTTGCTGAAGTGAATTAATCAGAGATTGGAATACAGAGAGGGGAGGTATGAGGAGGTCGGGAAAGTAAGTTTTATGAATATAAGGGAACGAAGCTATACTTGTGGTTGTATGTCTTTTGTATGTATTTTTGTTTTTTCTGTTTTTTGCTGTTTCTATTTTATATAAATCTTTGAAAACTTAAATATCTTTTAAAAAAAAGTCTACTGTCAGCATGATGGCACCTGACAGAAGGGCAGATATGCTGCGCACTTGCAGGCTCCTTTCCTAGGGTTTTTATTCTTTAACCCCCCGTGGAATTGAGACCCCAAGGCCAATCAGAATTCCTGATTAATTCAAAATTTACCAATGGTCAACTAGTTGGGTAATAACTCAGCTTGTGACAGCTGAAGCTCGTTTGTTCTCAAGACCTTGGGATCAAAAGGTTTCTCCCCAACTTCTCAGAGACACAGCAGAACCTCCTTCTCCTGGAATGAGGCTTGATAGCCCTTATTCACACAGGGGACACTTAGTAACCAGGTGTTAAATCACCACTAATCAACCAGAAGCAGCTAGTCTGCAGCTTAAAGTACCGTATTTTTCTCTCTATTACACGCAGATTTTTTCTCCTAAAAAGGAAGGGGAAATGTCTGTGCGTGTTATGGAGCGAATGTGGGGGGGGGTCCCTGGAGCCGATTAGGGGAGCGCAGGAACAAAAATCAGCAAAAATCAATCGTGCGTTGTGTCCGAGAGGGAAACCTGAAAAGAGGAAGTGGTTGCTTTCCTGCATTCTGCCTCAGGGTCTTACTGCCCACCCTCCTCTGTTTCCTTGCTGTGTTTGCTCAAAGGGAACAAGGAGCAGGCAAATCCCCTCCCCTCCAGGCAAGCAGAGGGGAAAGCAGAGGTCTTTCCTTCTAATTCCTCTCCGTGCTCCTCGCAGGCAGCCAGAAAACATGCAGGAGGAGAGAGAAAGCTGGCTTCGGTTTGTGGAAACTTTTGCCTTTCTTTCTTCCCTCCCGTAAAATCCCTCTCCTGCTTTCTTAGCCAGCTGCTTCTCTGCACACCGCTCTCTTGTCCCTTCTGTGTTTTTCCTTCACTCCCCACTTAAAATGTAGTTACAAAGCATGGATCCACATGGATCCTCAGGATCTTTGCATTGGGCCACCCCAAATTCACCATCAGATCACATAGCAGCCTGCCCCCCAAAAATCACACACCCACTGTTGCCTGGGGCTGCAATGGTGCAAAAAACGTGGTTAAAACGCATGGATCCGCATGGATCCTCAGGATCTTTGCATTGGGCCACCCCAAATTCACCATCAGATCACATAGCAGCCTGCCCCCCAAAAATCACACACCCACTGTTGCCTGGGGCTGCAATGGTGCAAAAATGTGGTTAAAAAGCATGGATCCACATGGATCCTCAGGATCTTTGCATTGAGCTATCCCAAATTCACCATCAGATCACATGTCTGTGGCCACAGCATGAAGCACAAAAATGATACATCCACTGTTTCATTCAGAATATTTTCCCTTGTTTTCCTCCTCTAAAAACGATGTGCGTGTTATGGTCAGGTGCGTGTTATAGAGCGAAAAATACGGTAACAAGGACACATAAATCCTTTGGCCTTTGGTCTTCCCACAGTGCTTTTCTTCAGCTTGACCAAAGTTTGTCTATCAAAATTTCCTAACTTCACTACAGCGTCCCTAAACAGGGCTGATACAGATGTCTTCTAAAAGTCTGGTAGTTGTTTTTCTCTTTGACACCTGCTGGGAGGGCGTTCCACAGGGATATTATTCCACGAATAATAGAACAACATAATTGCAGAGTTGGAATGGACCCTCAAAGGTTCTCCAGCCCCACTGTGATCTAGGTAAAGGTAAAGGGACCCCTGACCATTAGGTCCAGTCATGGCCGACTCTGGGGTTGCGGCGCTCATCTCGCTTTATTGGCCGAGGGAGCCGGCGTACAGCTTCCGGGTCATGTGGCCAGCAGCACCAAGCCACTTCTGGTGAACCAGAGCAGCGCACAGAAATGCCGTTTACCTTCCCGCTGGAGTGGTACCTATTTATCTATTTGCACTTTGATGTGCTTTTGAACTGCTAGGTTGGCAGGAGCAGGGACCGAGCAATGGGAGCTCACCCCGTCGCGGGGATTTGAACCACGACCTTCTGATTGGCAAGTCCTAGGCTCTGTGGTTTAACCCACAGCGCCACCCGCGTCCCACTGTCAGCTAGGGGCCCATAAATCTGCCCAGCCAGCCCTCCCCCTGGGCTCACGGCTCCTGAAGGACCGTAGCGAAGGGCCCAGCTGCCAAGCCCCCAGGGCAGCATCTCCCGGCGAGGCAGGGAATTCCTCCCTGGAGAGGCACTGGTGCCGCTGCCAGGCACAAGGTAGATGGGCAAAGGTCTCCATCTGAGGCAGCTTGGAGAAGGGAGGCGGGCAGGCAGGCCAATCGATCCTGCCACCCCAACCTTTGTCTCATGGGCCAAGAGGGCGGGGCAGAACTGGGACGAGGGCCAAGGGGAAGGAGCCAAGGGCCAGCAAGGCAGCTATTGGCTGCTAGGGATGGAGCAATTGGCTCTAGTGCCCTGGCTGGGGGTCAAAATAAATGAATCTGAGGGTGCCTCTGGGCACACAGAGTTTGGGAACCGCTGGGCTTGACTTTTTAAGTTTCCTGGAGCCCGGAGGAGAGCTCAACCTCACCTGGGTGCCAGCAGCGTCCTTATTGCCAAGTCACCTGGGGACCAAAGTGCAGGCGGCAGAGAGAGACTTGTGCATTGCAGCCACGGACAGGACATCATCTTCTCCTGGACAAGTGAGCCTCTTTCCTCCTCCCCCACATGCTGCCCCCCTCCCGAGGGCATGGCTGAAGGGGAGCAGCTGGGCTTTGAAAGGATGCAGGTCAGAGGCCACCTGTGCTGAAAACACCTGCGTCTTCACGTTCTCCCTTCTGCCAAGGCAGGGGCCCCTCCTGGCTGGAGTCCTGCTGCAGCCCCCCCCCGGTGGATTTTCTCCCCAGGATCTCTTCCTCTTCCTGAGACCCAGGGTCAGAAGATGGCTCTGCAGAAGCACCTGGAGGCCCTTAGCGTCTTCCAGTGGGTCCTCACCTACCTCTTCTTTGGTAAGTTGGGAGCTGGGGGGGAGGGAGGGGCAGGGGTGCTCAGGGAAGAGGAGCAGCTTGGCCTCCTCCCACAGCTGTCAACTTTCCCTTTTCTTGCGAGGAATCCTTTTCGGAATAAGGGAATTTCCCTTTAAAAAAGGGGAACGTCGACAGCTATGCCTCCTCCTCCTCGTGGGGCCTGGAGGGCAGAGGCTGAGGAAGCCTGCCCTAGATGGACCCCTTCAGACACCTCCCCACCACCCAGGGAGCTTTCAGCCTGGAGGCCGGCCTGCCCCTCACCTGCCTCTGGCCTCCCCCCCCCCAGGTGCCTTCTTCTCCATTCTCCTGGTCTACCTGCTCTTCACCTCCTACTGGTCTATCAGCGTCCTGTATTTTGCCTGGTGGATCTTCGACTGGGATACGCCAGAGAGAGGTGAGTTCGATTTCCCCCCAACCCTACCTGGAGGTCAGGTGAAAGGTGCCTCTCCTTGTCCGAGAAGGGTGCTGAGCCCCACACCCAGACCCACACAGTTGGAGCTGCTGCCTCACCCTGCCCCTCCTCCTCCAACTCACCCCCTTCCCCTGGGGCAGCTTGCGACCATCCCAAACCCGTTTTCCTCACTGCTATTTACTGTTTTCTATTTTCCAAGACAGCCTCCAATAAATGACACAATGGCAGAAGGCATTTCATTTCTCTCTCTCTCTCTCTGGAGGGCAGAAAAATCAGCTGCATTTATTTATGTATTTATCATTGTTTATTAAATTTTACTATAAAAAAAACATGATATCCTGTAATTGACACGAATCAAAAGATCCCTCCCCAAAATATAACATAGAATCAGAGTTGGAAGGGACCCCAAGCATCATCTTGCTCCTCATTGTTGATTGATTGATTCATTATAATTTTATTTATACCCTGCCCATCTGGCTGGGCTGCCCCAGCCACTCTGGGTGGCTTCCAACACACATAACATCAACAACAACAACAACAAATCAAGTATTTGAAATACAAAAATGTCTCCGTGACTTACATTCCAAGCGGTGTACAAACTCGTAAAATCCAAGAACTTAAAACTGCATTGCTGTTCCTAAAAATAAAATACACACATTTGGACAACAACAATGCCAAGGCTTTTGTAGGAAGGAAGGTCTCGCAGGGGGGGGGGGGTCCAGCCTCAGCCAGACCTCCTTCCTTCAAGGGCACCACAGGACCATGGAAGGTGGAGCTAGCAGGTCTCCTGCAGCTCCAGAGGGCAGGATCTGAACCCATGACTTCACTTGGCAAGAAAGAAGATTCCGACTCCACATCAGGAAGTACTTTTTGAGGGTTAGGGCTGTTCCTCAGTGGAGCGGACTCCCTCGGAAGGTGGCAGGATCTCCTACTGTGGAGGTTTTTAAGCAGAGGTCGGGTGGTCACCTGCCAGGGATTCCTCAGCTGCGATTCCTGCATTGCAGAGGGTTGGGCTGGATGACCCCTGGGGGTCCCCTTCCAACCCCACAATTCTCTGACTCTTGTCTTCGCAGGTGGGCGCCGCAGCGACTGGATGAGACGCTGGAGAGTCTGGGAGCTCCACCGGGATTATTTCCCCATCAAGGTATGAGAAGGGGGCTGGCAGGGCAAAGGAGGGTCCACCTTCCTCAGAAGGATGCCCAGGGTCTCTGGAACCCCTGGAGACCAGATCACAGAGAAGCAGGAGGTGGCAGCCGTCAAAGGCTGCTGGCCATGGAATCTGCACATTGACATTCAGGTGGGGGTCCAAATGCCAAAGGACTCGCCCCTCTTGCCTTGCAGCTGGTGAAGACGGCCGAGCTGCCCCCGACGCGGAACTACGTCCTGGGCTCCCACCCCCACGGGATCATCTGCGCGGGGGCCTTTTCCGCCTTCTGCACCGAGGCCACGGGCTTCCCCCGCGCCTTCCCTGGCCTCCGCCCCAGCCTGGCCGCCCTCGCAGGGCTGTTCCGCATACCCGTCTACCGGGACTACCTGATGAGCTTAGGTGAGGCCAAGGGGTCGAGGAATGGAGAAGGAAGGGGGGCAAGGGAAGCCCTTAGCAACATGACACATGGAGTCCACAGGCAGCTGAGACGTCCTCTTGTGCTTCTAGCCGGTCGGGGTGGGGAAGTGGGGTGGCCCCTCCCCTAAGGACCACCTTCAAGAACCCTGCCTGGCCCATCCAATGGGAGGAACCACCCCAGACTCAGGAATGCCTTCCCAGAGCCCCTGGGAATAGAATTCCCCAGCAAGAATGTCTGTTTTTCCTTCCATTCTTTGCTCCTGTGCAAAAGAAAAGGTGTGTTTGGTTGCACAAATAATACGCAGAATTGACCTGTGCCTCCATGGACAGCTGTGAGTCCAGAATGACTCCCAGGTTGCGCACCTGGTCCTTCGTGGGCACAGTTGCCCCATTCAGGACCAGGGAGTCCTCCACACCTGCCCGCCTCCTGTCCCCCCAAAACAGTACTTCTGTCTTGTCAGGATTTAGTCTCAACCTGTTAGCTGCCCTCCAACCGCTTCCAGACGCGCTGATCCTTTGCCAGCGACACTTCTGCCCTTTAATAGACTCACAGAATTTCAGAGTTGGAGGAGAATCGCCAGGGTCCTCTAGTCCAACCCCCTGAAAAGCAAGGAACCTTTGCTTTCTCCCACTTCCAGGGTTGGTCCCGGTCAACAAAAGGTCCCTGGACTTCCTCCTGAGTGGCCCCCCTGGGCACGCAGTGGCCATTGTGGTGGGGGGCGAGTCCGAGATGCTGGACAGTTTCCCCGGAGAGCAGCACATCCGCCTTCACGGGAGAAAGGGATTTGTGCGCCTGGCGCTGCAACACGGGTAGGGGCACCAAGGGGACAAGGGGGTGTCTGAGGGGGTGTTGAGTGCAGGTCAGCAATATCTCGGGCTGCGTGAGCATGGCAGTGCTTCCTGGTGGATTTTGCTCCAATGAAGCAATTTGCGAGAACGGAAGGTCCCTGCGCTTCCTTGCTGTATAATTTTTTATTACCAAATCTTTCATACATTTTCACAGTAACCTTCCTAACAAATAATTCCGCTGACTTTCCACCTACACAGTGTTTTTTACTCAAAGCTACTGTGCTGTATCTTCATCTATTACAAAAAAATTAGTACAATTATTTTGTCATTTTTCTTCTTCTGCTTTTATCTTGAGTCCTGTTCGCGATTTCATTTGACTGTAATGTTTTTTAAGTAATCCACAAACGGCCTCCATCCTTCGGTAAAAAGTTCATCATTCTGATTTCTTCATTTTGCTGTGAGCTTTGCTATTTCTGCCTAGTCCATTTCCTTCAAAGGCCACTCCTCCTTCGTTGGGACCTTCTCTTTTCCCCAATTATTATTATTTATTATATTATAACAAATATTATAATTTAATATAATTCTGTGAATATAATATTCTAGCTGCTGTTGTACCAAAAATAAATAGTTTAGTCATCTTCTATGCTACATCTCTCCCTATTATGCCTATAAGAAAAGCTCCTGGTCTTTTGGGAACAACCACTTAAACATTTTCTCCATTTCATTATATATCTTTCCCCAAAAGCCTTTCGCTTTCCTAGGTCTCCACCACATATGGAAGACCGACCCATCTAACTATTTCTAGCATTTACTTGACACATTTTTATAAATCTTGGCCAGTTTATCTGCCATTAAATACCACCTGTACAGCATTTTAAGATAGTTTTCTCTTAATGTATAACAGGCCGTGAATTCCATATGCTAAGGTCCCAGCCTTCCCCCAGCCTAGCCTCCCTCGCGAGGTTCTTGGTTGGATTAAAGGCTCTACCTGACCCGGCATTCCTTCTTCCTCCTCGCAGGGCTGACCTGGTGCCCGTTTACACCTTCGGGGAGAACGACATTTACCGACAGATCCGGTTCCCCGAGGGCAGCTTCGCTCGCCGCTTCCAGCTCGGTTTCAAGCAGCTGATCGGCTTCGCCCCTTGTCTCTTCAGCGGGAGGGGCCTCTTCTCCAGCCGCTCCTGGGGGATCCAGCCTATGGCTGCCCCCCTCACGGTGGTGGGTAAGGACCCACAAGGCTCCCCGTTCCTTCCTTAGCCTCCGCCTCCTGCCCCACAAACACCCCCGACTCACCAACTTGCTTGCAAAGAGCCACAAACTCTTCAGCATCGTACAAAACAGCAGGTTCTGGTGCTTTCGCCCCCTCCTAGAACTGAATCGGAGACCTGTGGAGTTGGATGGGAACCCCAAGGGTCATCGAGCCCAACCCCTCTGCTGGAATCAAATGAGCAGGCTTGTTTTATGGGGCTTGCTGTGGAGGAAGCTGCGATTGCGCGCGCACACACACACACACACACACACCGACTTCCTTCTCCCCTTCCTTGGAGGTTTCTAAGCTGAGGTTGGTTGGCCCCATTCAGGGATTCCTGCATTGCAGAGGGTTGGGCTAAATGACCCTCGAGGGTCCCCTCCATTCCTGCACCTAACCCACCCCTGAAACCCAAGGCCAGAGTGCAAAGCTGCTGGGGTGGGGAGGCCTTGGCTGCCTTGGGTGGGGGGCGAGGGGCAGAGCAGACCCCCTAACCGCCCATGCTTCTTCTCCCTCCTGCAGTGGGGAAGCCTATCCCGGTCCCGCGCCGCCCGCGCCCCACTGAGGACGAGGTGAACAGCTTCCACGCTCTCTACGTCAAGGCCCTGAAGGAGCTCTTCGATGCCCATAAAGAATCCTGCGGCCTCCCAGCAGCTCCTCATCACCTAGAGCAGTGTTTCCCAACCTTGGGCCTCCAGCTGTTTTTGGACTACAACTCCCATCATCCCTAGCTAGCAAGACCAGTGGTCAGGGATGATGGGAATTGTAGTTCAAAAACAGCTGGAGGCCCAAGGTTGGGAAACACTGACCTAGAGGGACCCAGACTTGACCCGAAGCAGCATCAGGGGACACAAGGTTGTGATGGGGGGAGACACGCGGGAGTCTTTGCCCCCCCATCCCCGTCTGTATACACCATTTCCAATAAAATGCGCCGTGCCTGCTGTCTGACTTTGGGTCCTTGGTGCCCGAACCTCCTTTTTGTGCCCACCTGTGGAGCCGAAGGCTGGTTGTCTCATTCTCACATGCATTATTAAGATGAGGTTTGCAGAGCCTGGCAGCCAGAGAAGCAGGCCGTGGCCCTGGATCCGTGGTGCAGGTTTGAGGGGGCTGCCCACATGCCCTCCGGGTGAGCAGCCAGGAACTTGTCTGCCTGCAAGAGAAAAGATCATTCGGACATGCAGGCCCAGCTCTTACTTGGAAAACAGGGGCCCTGCTCTTGTTGTTTAGTCGTGTCCGGCTTTTTGTGACCCCCTGGACCAGAGCACGCCAGGCCCTCCTGTCTTCCACTGCCTCCCGCAGTTTGGTCAGACTCATGCTGGTAGCTTCTATGACACTGTCCCACCATCTCATCCTCCGTCATCCCCTTCTCCTTGTGCGCTCCATCTTTCCCACCATCAGGGTCTTTTCCAGGGAGTCTTCTCTTCTCATGAGGTGGCCAAAGTCTTGGAGCCTCAGCTTCAGGGTCTGTCCTTCCAATGAGCACTCAGGGCTGATTTCCTTCAGAACGGAGAGGTTGGATCTTCTTGCAGTCCATGGGACTCTCCAGAGTCTCCTCGCCCTGCTCTTATGGGCCAGGAAAAAGAGGGAGGGGGAGCTGGGCTTGGGGATCTGTTTGCCCGAGGGGCTCGAAGACCACTCTCTGACTGCAGGAGCAACGCAGGACATGCCGGGGTGGGGTGGAGGCAGGGCAGGAGGGTGCCAGGAGTCTCAGGCCAAAGGCAAAGTGTTGGATCCACGTTTTTTATAGTGCAGTTTGTAGGCGTGCCTTCCAGGTGTGATTTGACACTGCATTTGTTGGAGTTATTTATAAAAAAGTGGAGGATCCAAGTAGATCCACCTTTTACCCAGACCCTACAGGAACTAGCATTTCCTGCAGCTCAGCATACTGCATTTTAATAAGCCTGGCTGCTTGTAAGGTCTATGGCTTCTTTCTCACCAAACCTCATCCTGTACAGTGGTACCTTGGGTTACATACGCTTCAGGATGAGAACAGAAATCGTGCTCCGGCAGCGCGGCAGCAGCAGGAGGCCCCATTAGCTAAAGTGGTGCTTCAGGTTAAGAACAGTTTCAGGTTAAGAATGGACCTCCGGAATGAATTAAGTACTTAATTAATTAAATACCTGAAGGAGGGAATCCACCCCCATCATTCTGCCCAGACACAGAGGTCCAGATCCGAGGGCCTTCTGGCGGTTCCCTCGCTGTGAGAAGCCAAGTTACAGGGAACCAGGCAGAGGGCCTTCTCGGTGGTGGCGCCTGCCCTGTGGAACTCCCTCCCACCAGATGTCAAAGAGAACAACAACTACCAGACTTTTAGAAGACATCTGAAGGCAGCCCTGTTTAGGGAAGCTTTTAATGTTTGATGTATCACAGTATTTTAATATTGTGCTGGAAGCCGACCAGAGTGGCTGGGGAAAACCAGCCAGATGGGCGGGGCATAAATTATTATTATTATTATTATTATTTACCTCCACCCTTTCTTCTCTAGGGGGAAAAAAGGGAGAAGAGCTCCTGCGCCCTGTGTGCCTTTGCGAAACCTCCCCGCTCCCTGTCGAAAAGTGACGGGGTGGCCGTTGCTTACCTGCCCCCCTCAAGCCCAGCCAACCCCGCCTCCTCGCGAGGCTCCGCCGCCGCCATTGCCGGCCTCCGCGCCCCCCCCCAACACCACGCGGGAAGAGGCCCGTTCTCGCGAGAGGACCGGCTCCCTCAGGGGCGGCGAGGCCAGCAGGGGAAGGGAAACAGGGCGCGCAGCGGGGCCTTGGCTTCTCACCGCCGGGCTGCTCTAGTTTTCGTGCCTCGGCGTTACTGCGCTTCTCCGCGCGGAGCCTCCGCCGACCGAGGCCTTCGAAGGAGGCGCTGTCTTCCCCCCTCAGCGGCGCTGCGGCTCCTTTAAAAGCCGGGACATACCATCTCCGCGGAGGGGGGGGGCCCGGGATTCTTCCGAGGGAGAGGCGAACCGGCGGAGGCTGCGGGAATCCGGCTCCCTTCGCTCCCCCTCCAGGCCCGCGCCTCCCCTCGCCCTTCTGCTTCCCGCCTCGTCGGCCAACCGACACACGTATCAGCCCCCCCCCCGAATTACTCACTTGGTTGGCTCCGCTCTTCCCGCGCTTTTCTGCCCTCAGCGTCTTATTTTAAGATGCCCCGTAACGTTGGGTCAGGAAACACACCAAACTGGGCCTTGAGTTTCTGCAGCGCTGTTGCCTTTCTTTGCCACCGACCGTCCTAAATCAAGAAAACGAAATAGAGAAGACAAAGAAGTTGCTATGTGATATTATAGAACTACTGTGGGAGGGCGTTCCATAATAATAATAATAACAATAATGATTTATTATTTGTACCCTTCCCATCTGGCTGGGTTTCCCCAGCCACTCTGGGCAGCTTCCAACAAAAATTTTAAATACATTTAAATGTCACACGTTTAAAACTTCCCTAAACAGAGCTGCCTTCAGATGTCTTTTAAAGATAGGATAACTGCTTATTTCCTTCATATCTGAAGGGAGAGCGTTCCACAGGGCGGGTGCCACCACCGAGAAGGCCCTCTGCCTGCTTCCTTGTAACCTCACTTCTCGCAGTGAGGGAACCGCCAGAAGGCCCTCGGAGCTGGACCTCAGTGTCCGGGCTGAACGATGGGGGTGGAGACGCTCCTTCAGATATACTGGACCGAGGCTGTTTAGGGCTTTCAAGGTCAGCACCAACCCTTTGAATTGTGCTTGGAAACATACTGGGAACCAATGAAGATCTTTCAAGACCAGTGTTATATGGTCTCGGCGGCCGCTCCCAGTTGCCAGTCTGGCTGCTGCTTTCTGCATTAGTTGTAGTTTCTGGGTCACCTTCAAAGGCAGCCCCACATAGAGCGCATTGCAGTAGTCCAAGCGGGAGACAACCAGAGCATGTACCACTCTGGTGAGACAGTCCACGGGCAGGGAGGGTCTCATCCTGCGTCCCAGGTGGAGCTGGTCCTTGAGAATAAGCCCGATTACACATAAACGGGGTCAGTTAGGCTTTAGGTCTTTGACTTCGCTCCTTTCAGGGTGTGTGGCAAAGGCCTCTGGGCATGCTGAGAGGTACTCTGCTTTTAAAAACTTTTCAATACATGCCGAGAGCATTTTGCTCAGGGCCCTTCTCTTTCCCCAGCGAAATGCAGAGCTTGCCAGCAAAACTCCATAAAGGGAGCCCACTGACTGAATTCCTATATTAGATGCTCTAAGCTACTTTTTGGTATGAGTAATTCACAACAGACCACTTCATTTATTAATGAAATGCTTGTTTTCTGTTTAGGAAATACAACCGGACAGCTGTCGCTATTCAATGTATCATTCTTCTTACTAAGGTGCAGGAAGAAAGCATGTTGGTGTCAGTGGATGTGAAAAATAAGCCTGTTTGGCTGACTTTGGTTAAACAGAGCACACACACAAGATATTCCCTTTGGCCTTTCCCCATTTCCTTCCTCCTTGCAGAGGAATATTTGAGGTCAATTTGGGAGAGTCGAAATGGCTTCAGGATTGCTCTCCTGTACTATTTCAGACACCTGGTTTATATACTTAGGTAGGTGTTGGCCTTGTACGTTTATGAGCATTTATATTTGAGACCTTAGAATTCTTACAACAATACGCTCGCCTTGAAACCCTAAAAGGGGCAGGAGGCTGTTTGCCCCCCCCCGCTCAGCCTCTCCTACAACCGCCCCCCTCCATGGCACCCATGGCACACCCCCACCCCCCGGGGGACCTGCCTGGACCCCACCTCGCCAGCTGGGAGCATATGGGGCAATGGCCCTGAGAGGGGAGGAAGAGACTTGCTAGGATAGACCGGGCCCAACAAAAGCAGGTTCCCATGAGGTCAACATTGCAACAGGGAACACTGGCACCTCATGAATCCTGAGGTATGGGCCGAAGATAACCCCCCGGGCATGGCTAGAAATATACTCCCCATGACCATCTGCTAATCCCGTAGCTGCAAGACAGTATCCCATCCCATGCCTAGCGGCAGAAGGGGTCTGGTTCCAGATTCTTCTTTGCGTTCCCCTTCGTTAACAAACAAACACAGTGCCCCCACCACTGTCCCAGAAACTGGATCATCCTTTGCTGAATGGTTGGCAATACTTTGTCTCAAGTAATAATTTTGTGTGGGAAGACTAGGGCCCTGATGCAACAATGGTTCTTCAGCATACGGAATAAGGTTTCGACAAATGATTCAATCTCATCTCTTCTTGCTAAAGGCTGTTGCAGCAACAGCACGGCACGGCTTGGATCTAAAGGCAGTACAGATTCATGCAAGTAGGACATCAGTTTTGCATGCTTATCTCTTGGCTGCTATGGGAACTTTGTCAAAGTTTTTTTTTTCAGGTGCTGTTTCACTCTGGAAGCGTTGTAATCGCACCTTCCCAGCCCAGACAACCGTGACTGAGTCCGCACTAGGAACTCTTTCTGGCTGTAATCTAGGTGGTATCTCTGCTCAAGAACATGATATGTATTGGGTGTGTGGAAAGCTGGCTTGTCATATCCTGCCAAAGGGATGGTATGGAGTGTGCTTTCCAGCCTCTTTAATTCCTCCCATGTGGATTTATGAGCCGATTGCCACTGCACCCCGTCGGAGGAGACGCTCGGTTGACCTAGTAGCAGTTGCAGGAGGCAGCTCCCAAAATTGGGGCAAGGATCAGTGGCCTCCAGAAAGGATAGTGGCCCATTACGATCTGGCCTCATGGAATCGGGGAGAAAAAAATCACAGGGGCAAGGGGGCCAATTTATAATTTAAACCGCATTATAACACTCCAAGCGGTAGTAGATTGTCGCCAATGCCACAGCCACAGCCCTCTGGTTAATCGACACCCAGTCCTTCAGCTCCGCTTAGGGCTGGACTTTCTCCTGGCGCGACAGGGCGGGTTTTGTGTTGCGTTAAATTTGACAGGAGGGGCCTGTTGCTTTAACATCTCTGACCATGCTGAAGCTATTCGAAATTTTGAAGCAGAAATTGAAAAAGTGGCCCATGTCCCTGTCCCTACTTAGAACGGATGGGACATGTCCTGGTGGACTGATTGACTTCCAAACCTAGAGGACTTTTGATGATGTTACTAGGCCCATTGATAATTTTGCTTCTTTTCTGCTCCTTTGTACCTTGCTTCTTGCAATGCTTGCAAAATATGATGCATAAAATGGTGTCACGAATGGTTCGGCCCCAGATTATAGCACTAGCCCGAGAATATCAGCCAGTGCCTCCTTGGGACGGAAGGCTGTCCAAAATAAAAGGGGTGTGTGAAGGGACAGGATACCCAAATCCTGACTGTGTGGTCACCCCAATTAGTGTGTGGTCACCCCAACTAGGCCTCAAGACTTCCCAAATTCTTTCTTTGAGGATGCAAACCTGAAATGCACTAGCTCTGCTGTATAACACAAAGTAGCTGAAAGGAAGAAAGCTTTCTCCTCTTCTCAGGAAAAGATGACCTGGCCGCCAGCAGCGCATCCAGCTGATCAGCCTTCTTGCAACTTTCTTGGCTCGCTGACAGGAGCAATGCACACCCGACCCGTGGGAAAGGCCTGAAAGGCTACAACCCAATGCAAAAATCCTGAGGATCCATGTGGATCTGTGCTTTGTAACCACGTTTTTGCCGCATTGCGGCCCCACAAAACAGTGGGTGTGTGATTTTTTTGGTGTAGGCTGTAGTCACGGACATGCTATGTGATCTGGTGGTGAATTTGGGGTGACCCAATGCTAAAATCCTGAGGATCCATGGGCTTTTACCTCCCCCCTCCCAGGCAGCCTCCTTTACCTCTAGCCTCCCTTATCTCGCTCCCGATTGCTTGCCGATCAGCGGCTTTGTTTCAACACTCCCTTCCCTCTTTCAAAAAAAGAAACATGATCTGCTTTTTGCCCCTGGGCAATTCGGCTCCAGGGACCACACATTCGCTCCATAAGACGCACAGACATTTCCCCTTACTTTTAGGAAGAAAAAAGTGCGTCTTATGGAGCGAAAAATATGGTAGGTGGAAATCAGTCTTCCACCTCTCCTCCCCCCCCTTCCTTAAAAACCATGCACTTCCTGGCTGGGGTCTCTTTCCTCTCTCTCCCCACCCCCAGCCAACCCACCTCCCCATTCCTGGGTTATGGGTTCAGGCCCACGCTGGGGCAAATATTCCCTGCATTGCACGGGGGGGGGTAGACTAATGACCCTCCCCTTCCAGCTCTGCTATTCTATTATTTTATATATGGGCAACTTATGAACATTGATAGGATTGTAGAGCTGGAAGGGAACTCGGGGGGTCATCTAGTCCAACCCCCCCCCCCGCAATGCAGGATTCGTCGGAAGAATCAGGAGCCAGGAAGAATCAAATTTCAATAAAGAATGGGGAGAGTTTAAAATGCATTTGAAAAAAATTATTGTAAACAACTACAATCCTTCGTAGGTTTGACAGAAACGTGTAGTAAAAATTCAAATCATGGATTGGAGTAAGGACTTATAATAACTGGAGTCAGGGAGGAGATGCAGGACAAAAATTGTAACCTAAGGATCCACAAAGGGGGGGGAGTCAAATAAAATATGATGTTTGCATTTTGATTCTTTGTAAAATTGAAAATGAAAAAGAGGAACCTTTGGCCCAGCATGGGCTCGAACCCGCGACCTTGAGATTAAGAGTTTCCTGCCATACCCTCCAAGTGTCTTGATTTTCCAGGGACAGTCCCAGAATTCCGAAGGCCCTCCAGGCTTCTGATGTTTATTTGTGGATTTTAATTGTGGGTGTTCATGTTTTCATTGGATTGTTTTGATTTTTTGATATATATATATTTTGTAAACCAGCGTTTTACCTTCCTAATGTGCCATTAGATTATAAACTACGTCTTATACAACCAAAAATAATATTGGGCTCCAATACATCAGTATAGAAAGGGATGATCTACAAGGACGTCTTGCTGGAGGTGCCAAAACGAAAATACGCCTCTTTGAAGCGTCTGCTTATGCAATGTCTGATGCTTACAGATTTCTGGAGGAAAGTATTGGGATATATAAATGCTAATTTGTAGAGAGGCTGCCCTGCCCTGAGGCAGGAAGCAATGTCGTTGCCAAGAAAGGTTTGCATAATTTCGACCTCTGCCCCCCCCTCCCGGCTCAGGTCAGCTTGGACCTCACTGCCCTGCCTGGCAGGAGACGGAGGAGGAGGAGGAGGAGGAGGAGGGGGCAACCTTTTAACTGCACCCAACACCCCCACCCACAGGGTGCTTCAGAAATCCCGGTGATTTCTCACCCTGTCTTTCCTCCAGGGGCACCTAAAGGCCATCAGGAGGAGCTGCGCTTGATCCCTTTGAAAGGGAGGCAGCTGCAACTGTGGATCCTCAGAGCACTCTTCACCTGCTCAGAGGCACTCTTTCTTCCCTAGAGCTAGTGCCACCAAAGCTGCGATTCCTGCCTTGCAAGGGGTTGGGCTGGATGACCCCTGGGGGTCCCTTCCAACTATACCGCTTTATGGTTCTACCGTAAGTCCCACTGATTTTGAAATGCGTCTGTTGTTTTGAAAACGGTTCTTCCCTGCTTTTTATGGCATTTTATGCTGCTCTGAGCCCGGCTTTGGCTGGGGAGGGGGGGGAATAAGTAAAATTTCATGAGGATGATGATGATGATGATCTCCTCTGTGGTTTGGAGAAGGGAGGCAGGCAGATGGGGCAATCGATCCTGGCACCCCAACCTTTGTCTTGTGGGCCAAGAGGGCGGGGCGGCCCTGGGATGAGGGCCAAGGGGAGGGAGCCGAGGGCCAGCAAGGCAGGTGCCAGGCAGGGCTGGGAGTCAAAAGAAAAGAATCTAATGCGCCTTGTCTCCTTTCGGAGGAGGAGAGCTCAGCCAGGTCCCCTTTGCCTCACCTGGGTGACAGCAGCATCCTTATCGCAGACTCACCTGGCTACCAAAGTGCAGGTGGCAGAGAGAGACTTGTGCATTGCAGCCGCGGGCAAGACAACCTCTTCTCCTGGACAAGTGAGCCTCTTTCCTCCTCCTCCTCCTCCTGCCCCACATGCTGCCCCCTTCCTGAGGGCACGGCTGAAGGGGAGCAGCTGGGCTTTGGGATGCAGGTCAGAGGCCACCTGTGCTGAACACACCTGCGTCTTCACGCTCTCCCTTCTGCCAAGGCAGGGGCCCCTCCTGGCTGGAGTCCTGCTGCACATCCCCCCCACAACTCCCCCCCTGTGGATTTCCTCCCCCCAGGATCTCTTCCTGAGACCCAGGGTCAGAAGATGGCTCTGAAGAAACACCTGGAGGCCCTTAGCGTCTTCCAGTGGGTCCTCACCTTCTTCTTCTTTGGTAAGTTGGGAGCTGGGGGGGGGGAGGGAGGGGCAGGGGGTGCTCAGGGAAGAGGGGCAGCTTGGCCTCCTCCTCTTCCTGGGGCCATGGCCCTTGGGAGGTCCTCTGGCAGGCCAGGCCCCTGTAATAAAAGGAAAACTGCCCTTTTCCCATTATGGGGGACACAAGAGCCCTTCTAGAGTCCTTTGTAGGTTCTCCATCAGTCGGAGAAAAGAACAGAGGCCAAGCAGATAATATTGAGAAGCAAAGCAGCTAGTAAGCCTGATCTTTATTGAACTCTTGCAACAGGGTCCTCACTCCCCACACGTAGGAGGAGGAGGAGGACCCTGAACAAAGGTGTGCCCACCCTCATATAGACATTTCAAATTGCCAGCCCTGGAGTCCAAGACCACCCCCAGACACATCATACCTACATCACAGAAGGGATGTAGCTCAAGACCACCCCCCAGATACATCATGCCTACATCGCAGAAAGGGCGGTCTACAGCAGAAATCTGAGTGCATTGTTTACCTCCTGACTGGCAGGTCACCTGTTAATGCTCACTTGATTGGATACCCTGGGGAGCCTGGCCAGTCTTTTGTAATGATAAATACTTAGTTCCTGAGCCAGGTCACAGGCTCACCCTATTCATACACAGACATACCCTTAAGACAGGATTTGTGAAGGAAAAGACAATGGGGAGGCTTTTCCATTTTCCTTCGACCTTGCAGAGAAATCGTTTGGTCAGTTTGGGGGTCAAAATGGTTCCAGGGCTGTTTTCCTGTGCTGCTTCAGACATGTGGTTTATATATTTATGTACGTGTTTGCTTGGTACATTTATGAACATGTATTATATATATAAAACACCTTAATTTTTTTATTTCACATCCATCCCCCAGAAGCCAAACCCCCTCTTCTTTTCAAAGCAGCTTTGGGCCAGGTGAGTCTGGACTAGGGAGTCAGCACCTCAGGGGGTTGGGCTAGATGGCCCTGGGGTGCCCCTTCCAACCTAACATGTTCTTCTCGGTTTAGGGGGGCTTCAGATCACATCCTCGGGGGTATCGTGAAATTGGGGTTGTGGTCCAAGGCAGGGCCTCTGAATCCCAGTGCTGCTTGTGGGTAGTGTTGGGCGATATATCGATATATCATCCACAACCAGTTTGAAGTCCACATTGCGATATTGGTTTCATATTTTAAAAAATTAATTTATTTGGTTTTTCAAATCAGAATTTTGCAATCACATATCCAGCATACAACATAAAAACAAGATTCCACAGAATCCCCTTCCCTCCCCCCCCCCAGGTCCCTTCTTCTCCGTTCCCCTGGTCTACCTGCTCTTCACCTCCTACTGGCCTATCAGCGTCCTGTATTTTGCCTGGTGGATCTTCGACTGGGATACGCCACAGAGAGGTGAGTTCGATTCCCCCCAACCAGGGCCGGATTGGGGTTTGATGAGGCCCTAAGCTACTGAAGGTGATGGGGCCCTTTATATGTCCAGCTGTCCTTTGTCCACAACAAATTGTCACTGTTTTTTGTGTTGAATATATGCTATATGGTAATTGATGGACCTAATAAGTATCTCAAGCCATGCAACCAGTCCATGCAGATCGTAAGGTAAAGGTAAAGGGACCCCTGACCATTAGGTCCAGTACTGGCCGACTCTGGGTTTGCGGCGCTCATCTCGCTTTATTGGCCAAGGGAACCGGCATGTGCCCAGCATGAATAAGCCACTTCTGGTGAACCAGAGCTGCGCATGGAAATGCCGTTTACCTTCCCGCCAGAGTGGTACCTATTTATCTACTTGCACTTTGACGTGCTTTTGAACTGCTAGGTGGGCTGGAGCAGGGACTGAGCAACGGGAGCTCACCCTGTCGCGGGGATTCGAACCGCCGACCTTCTGATCGGCAAGTCCTAGGCTCTTGGTTTAACCCCCAGCGCCACCCACGTCCCAGATGCAGATCGTAGGTACCCTATATATAGAAATGTGCAAACCAGGGATAATTAAGGGAACAGGCTAGCAGGTAGGGCCCATGACTTACATCACAGGAGCCTACACAACACAAAACACTGTTCCTGTAGGTAGGTTTTATTTTATTTGTTCTTTATCTTATATTTTGGATATGTGCATCCAGGGTTTTTTCCTTTAATTTTTTGGGGGCCCCCAAGGGACTGGGGCCCTAAACTATAGCCTGTTTAGCTTATAGGTAAATCCGGTACTGCCCCCAACCCTACCCGGAGGGCAGGTGAAAGGCGCCTCTCCTTGTCTGAGAAGGGTGCTGAGCCCCACACCCAGACCCACACAGCTGGAGCTGCTGCCTCACCCTGCCCCTCTTCCTCCAACTCACCCCCTTCCCCTGGGGCAGCTTGCGACCATCCCAAACCCGTTTTCCTCACTGCTATTTACTGTTATCTATTTTCCAAGACAGCTTCCAATAGATGACACAATGGCAGAAGGCATTTCATTTCTCTCTCTCTCTCTCTCTGTATGGAGGGCAGAAAAATCAGCTGCATTTATTGATGTATTTATCATTATTTATTAAATTTTGCTATAAAAATACACACGAAATCCTGTAATTGACACGAATCAAAAGAACCTTCCCCAAAATATAACATAGAATCATAGAATCATAGAGTTGGAATAGACCACAAAGGCCATCGAGTCCAACCCCCTGCCAAGCAGGAAACACCACCAGAGCACTCCTGACATATGGTTGTCAAGCCTCTGCTTAAAGACCTCCAAAGAAGGAGACTCCACCACACTCCTTGGCAGCAAATTCCACTGTCGAACAGCTCTTACTGTCAGGAAGTTCTTCCTAATGTTTAGGTGGAATCTTCTTTCTTGTAGTTTGGATCCATTGCTCCGTGTCCGCTTCTCTGGAGCAGCAGAAAACAACCTTTCTCCCTCCTCTAGATCAGTGTTTCCAACCTTTTTGGGCAAAGGCACACTTGTTTCATGAAAAAAATCTCGAGGCACACCACCATGCCAGATGGGGAAAGGTCACTTTTTACTTATGTAAAAAAAAATAAAAAAATAGTAACAGCATAGAAGGTAATGGTTAGGCTAGCATCCCTCTTCCAAATATGCAGGTTTTTATTTTCAGGGACTGTTCTACATGGGAAAGCATTCAGCATTGTCATTCTCCCATCTGCCATCTGAATTGGTACTATTCTGGGTCAACTTACTCTGCTGCATGTGTAGATGAAAATGGCACAAGTGTGGGGGAGGGGGCAGAACAGGTTTCAGATACAGGATTATGAAGCATACAGTTACTTCAGATTGAAACTGGTTGCTTGCTTGCAGTTTTCATTTCCAAATGACTGCCTTGGCAAGCGCAATACCTACCAGGCTTCAACGCCGGTCTCGCGCTGCCGCTTCCCGCGCTCTCAAGGACCCGGGAGGAGGAAGGCGTGAGGGAATCCCGAAGGCGCGAAAACTCGCGCATGCGCAGGCCTTCCGCCTGCGACAGCCCAGTAGACCGGCCGAAGCGAGCGGCGATGGGATGTGGGAGGGAGCTCGCTCGCCGCCCCGCGTGTGCCTATGTGGGGCACGTTACAGCCCCGTGACGTCAGCGCCACCGCAGGCAGCAGGCAGGCAGACGGCGAGCCCGCGCTGGGGCGGCCTCTCCTCGCCGCCGCCGCCTGCCTCTCGCCGCCCGACTCGCCCGCCTCCCTCCAGGCAACATTTCGCGGCACACCAGGCAACGTCTCGCAGCACACTAGTGTGCCGCGGACACCGGTTGGGAAACACTGCTCTAGATGACATCCTTTTATATATTTGAACATGGCTATCATATCCCCTTAACCTCCTCTTCTCCAGATCAGGTTAGTCTGACATGACTTATTTTTCAGAAATCCATGCTGACTATTGGTGATCACAGCATTCCTTTCTAGGTGCTCACAGACTGTTTGCTTAATGATCTGCTCCAGAATCTTCCCTGGTATTGATGTCAGACTGACTGGGCGGTAATTATTTGGGTCCTCTCTTTTCCCCTTTTTGAAAATAGGGACAACATTTGCCCTCCTCCAGTCTGCCGGGACTTCGCCTGTTCTCCAGGAATTCTCAAAGATGACTGCCAGTGGTTCTGAATCACATCTGCCAGTTCTTTTAATACTCTTGGATGCAGTTCATCTGGCCCTGGAGACTTGAATACATCTAGACTAGCCAAGTATTCTTGTACTATCTCCTTAGTTATTCTGGGCTGTGTTTCCTCTGCTGAATCATTTGCTCCAAATTCTTCAGGTCGGGCATTGTTTTCTTTATCGGAGAAGACTGAGGCAAAGAAGGCATTGAGGAGTTCAGCCCTTTCTGTGTCCCCTGTTTGCATTTCACCATCTTCTCCTCTGAGTGACCCCACTGTTTCTTTGTTCTTCCTTTTGCTACGAACATACCCATAAAAGCCTTTTTTGTTGCTTTTAACCTCTCTAGCAAGCCTGAGTTCATTTGTGCTTTAGCTTTTCTGACTTTGTGTCTACACGTGCTGGCTATTTGTTTGAATTCCTCTTTGGTGGTTTCCCCCCTTTTCCATTTTTTGTACACATCCTTTTTTAATCTTAACTCAGTTAAAAGTTCTTTAGATAGCCACCCTGGCTTCTTTAGGCACCTTCCATGTTTCCGTCTCATTGGTATTGCCTGAAGTTGTGCTTTTACTATCTCCCTCTTAACAAACTCCCAGCCATCTTGAACTCCCTTTCCTTTTAGTATTACTGTCCATGGGATCTCACCCAGCACTTCCCTAAGCTTTATGAAGTCGGCTTTCTTAAAGTCGAGAAATTGAGTCCTAGTATGCTTGGCTGCTCCTTTCCGCTGTATAGTAAACTTCAGAAGAGCATGATCACTCGCGCCTAATGATCCTTCCACTTCTACCCCACTAACCAGGTCATCAACATTGGTTAGGACCAGATCTAAAATGGCTGTTCCTCTTGTTGCTTCTCCCACTTTCTGGACAATGAAGTTGTCTGCAAGGCCAGTGAGGAATCTGTTTGACCTTATGCTCTTGGCTGAGTTTGACATCCAACAAATATCCGGGTAATTGAAGTCCCCCATTACTACTATCTCCCTTCCTTTTGCATGCTTGGCCATCTGTTCCAGGAAGGCATCATCTATGTCCTCCGTTTGGCTTGGGGATCTATAGTAAACTCCCACAATGAGGTCTCTGTTATTCTTCTCTCCCTTAATTTTGACCCAAATGCTCTCACTTTGGCTTTGAGGTTCTAAATCTCTGAAATAGATTGTATCCCTCCATTATTACATTCCAATCGTGGGACTTATCCCACCAGGTTTCAGTGATGCCTATTATGTCATATTTAGTTAATAATAATAATAATAATAATAATAATAATAATAATAATAATTTATTATTTGTACCCCGCCCATCTGGCTGGGTTTCCCCAGCCACTCTGGGCGGCTTCCAACAAAGATAAAAAATACACTAAAATGTCACACATTAAAAACTTCCCTGAACAGGGCTGCCTTAAGATGTCTTCTGAATGTCAGGTAGTTGTTTATCGCTTTGACATCTGATGGGAGGGCGTTCCCAAGTTCCAAGTTTTATTGCGGCAAAAGCCAGTGACACTAAACACCACAAGATCAAACAAAAAGAAATCAACAACAACATCAGAAAGAAAGAAAAAAGGATTACGCAAGGGAACTTCGCAGTGTGCCATTCAACAGAGGAGATTTACGCTTCCTGATCACTAAAGTGCAAAATTTGGCCACCTCATATGATATTGAGCTTGAGGAATCTTTCAGAAAGTATTTTCGTAGAATTTCGGGGGAGGATTCCAAATAATGATGTTAGGGGTATAAATTTTGATAAAAGTGGCAAAATAAGTTGAACTCGTTCTTCACTATAAAATTCGCAAAATAGAAGGATGTGTGTGACAGATTCTACCTTATTAGACATACAGGGCAGAGACGCGCATGCATTGGTACCCGCATGAATTTGCCGTACAGGACTGCTGAGGGCATTGTCTCAAAGCGGGCTCTAGAGAAAGCCCATCTATAAGCTTCGTTAGTGATGTTAGTTAAGTAAGGGGCAGCTGCAAATTAGGCCAAGCTTTTAAACATCTATACGTCTCCGGGAGTAGGGCGTCTTCTTGTTGTAATTCGACATCGTAAAGTCTCTGAGTGATAATTGTTTTTGCCTTGTTCAGAGTTCCAATAAAAAGATTTTCAGGGTTTAGGCCAATTTGTTTGATCTTATTAGTTATTTGCATAAGCCAAGGAGGATAGGGAACTGCGGCCAGGAAGCAAGGTAACAGTCCCTTAGGATTGTAATGGATTTTCAGCCAGAGGGATATTGCTTGCTCCCAGACTTTTAATTCCACTCTGGGCAGTCCTGCCTCTTGCCTTAAGACTGCATTAGGTGTACACTTTGGGGTAGCAAATAATGATCTTAAGAATTTTGATT